TTTTTTTTTTTTCGGGACTACGACCTCCCCACAGCCTCCCCTAAACACCGCCGACGCTCCCGTGGCCTCAGAGGCACCCCCCCAGCCCCGACAGACCCCTGCGCGAACGCGTCAATCGCGTTCAGGGGCATTCAGTGAACGAGCGTTCACTGCGTTCAAAAACTGAACACGGAATGCGCGTTCAATGAACGCGCGGTAACATAGGGAATACTACATAGTACACACTGCATGCCCACGTAGTCACTCAAAGGGGCGACCACGCTCCCACGTAGATTGGAAGGTGAGCAAAATGAGTTATTCGTTACTACGCCAGTGCGCTGGGATAGCTCGTGCACCGCCTAGCCGTCGTCACTCGCCGAAATTCAAATTTCCAAGTTCTGACCAGGGCATTTAAACTTTTTTATTTCTTTTTTTTTCGCGCCCCCCATGTATTTGCACCCTTCGTCTGTCGACCAACATGCCTTTTGATCGGACATCCCAAACCGGAGCACGAACATACCTCCCACGACCGTGTATACTCGTATAAAACTGGCTGCGGAGAGGCCCCGAGGATTCATCCTCGGAACCACTCGCCGAGGACAGGTCGAACGATGCATCCAAAAAACCAAAAATCCCCCGAGGATGCCCTGAGGAGTGTCTAACGACGCCCAAACATTGATTACATCAAACCTCTGATTGATGAAGGAAAGCAATGAATCGGAGATTTGCTATCCAAGCGCTTCAACGAAGGAACTCTTCCCAATTGAGTCGCACCTGGATTGGCCGAATCTAGTGATGACTTTGTCATAATGACGGTTGATAAAGACATTTGTAGGTCCAAATTGACAGGTTAAAGGACCATGCTATCACAATTTTGTTTTAAGATGAAGCCTCCAACCTCTTGGTGGAAGTTAAAAACAAAATAGGATGTGCAAGAACGTATGGGTGGCTGCTGGAGCTCCATACGATGTCCCGATTAGAGGAACTTTATGTAATGATGGTCGTAATCTAGCCACTTATGTGATATCCGTTAAACAAATGACAGATTGGATGCTAAGGAAAGGGGGGAAACAATAGAGCTAGATGCTTAAACACGTGTTGACTTTCGAACCCTAGATGAATATTCATCAACTACAAAAGTGGAAAAACGCTATGGTCCTTCGTGACATTCGTTAAAATTTGAACGATACGGAGAAGATTAGCATGGCTGCTGAGCAAGGATGACACACATAAATCGAGAGAATTGTCAAAATTTGAGGGGGGGGGGGGGGGGGGGGGGGACACTATGCATCGAAAGTGTTTTTGGATCGATTGTATGGAGATCCCGGTTGCTATTTTGGGCCTCCTAAAGGTAGGGGTGGAAGGCGCCTTCGGTCCAGTTGTCAAAGACTACTCGGTGTACAAGAAGCCTCTCGAACCTGACCTATGACACGTTCTATTTGACCTAACATCGACTGCATAAATATCTCAAAATCAATCTTAGAAGCTTTGAGGCAGTAAAGATTGAAGTTAGTAGTGCTGAAACATCTTGGTGCCAGGTTTGTCGGCGTCATTTCCACAAGGAAACAAACGATGATTGCCCGCCCAAGCAAAAACGCAAATCAGGGGCTAAGGGGAATGGTAAGGACGAGAACAAGAATAAGGGTGGGGAAAATGATGCGAAGGAGGATGAGAAAGAAAAGATACTGAAGGAATATGGAAAATCGGAAGGGGGCAAGCCTATAGAAGTAGAGAAGGGGGGTGAGAAATGGGTTGAAGTTACCAGAAAAAAGGAAAAGAAAGGTCCAGAAGGTGGGAGGGCAGATGACCCAAAGGGAAAGGGGAAGAAGGCGGTTTGACGAACGGAGAAATCGTCTTCCTTTAAAGAGGCAGTCAAGGGTGACAAAGGAAAAAGGATCGAAACAGAGCAGGATAAAAAACGGGAGGAGGAGGAGAGAAAGAGAGAGAAAGCGAAGAAAAAGGTGAACGAGGAGAAGAGGAGAAGAGAAGAGAGGAAGAGAAGAGAATGAGGGAGGAAAGGAGGAAGGTGGAAGAGAAGGAAGAGCAAGAAAGGAAAAAGGAGGAGGATAATAAACTGAAAGATGTAATTATGAGAGAAAAATCCCCCGCTCGTTATGACTCCAATAAAGTCTTACAGGTGAAAGATGAAGAGATTCTTGATTCAGGGAACTAAGATGACAAAGTGAAAGGCCCCTTATAAAAGAGGCAAAAGACAGTGGATAAAGCAGGAGAAAAAGATGGAGTTTTATCCCTCTTTAAATTTCCTGGTACAGCGATTTCCTCACCGTTTGTTTTCCGTGGAACAGGCGAAAAGGGAAAAAAAAAAGAAAAGAAAGGGAAAGCAAAAACGAACAACCCACGGATTAGCGACCAGGCTACTGAAGAAGGTAAGTTGAATCCTAGAGTCACTGCAGAAGGAATCTGATTTCAAGAAGAAGATGATATCCTCTGATGAAGAGTGACCCTCAGATAGTGAGTTTTCCCCCTTGCTAAAAAAAGAAGGGAGCCTCATTATCTAAGGGAGACCCAACGAAAAAGGAAACGAACAGGAAGGGGGGAGGCATAGTAGAGGAAAACTTTGATTTCGCTATCCCAGGATTACACCAGGAACGGATCACTGTACAGGGACGCTGGACCTGATTTCCAGCAGATTCATTCTCATAATTGTACTGGGATGCTGGACCCGATTTCCAGCAGGTGTAGCTCCCCACCAATAGATGGAGCCTTCGACGCCGGGGCCTACTTACCGGGGATGCTCTTATCACCTCGTTAAGTAGGTTTCCCGTATAACGAAGTTTCACCAAAAAAAAAAAAAAAAAAAAAAAAAAGGAAAAAAAATACATTTTCTCCCTGCAAGAAAGCGCAAATAAATGACAGTAATGCAGCCCCTACCGTGGAGGATCAAGGGAGAGAGGGGATTCCTTTGCCACCCAGCCTGCAGGCCAGCCCTCTACAAAAAAGAGAGCACAGCCGGGGCGGTCAGCAAAGAAATCCCTGCTCCTCGCGGCCCCCATGGTTACTCTACACAGGACAAATAAGCAGGCAAGTAAGGTTAAATGATTTTTAATTCCCCTGATCTGCGCAGACTCCAGCCAGGGACTGTGGATGTTTACACACTGGTCTGAGGAGGCCCACTCAGAATCCCAATGATGCCAGTGCCAGCTACTCCTTCAGAATATCGCGCTTTGGAACACAAGTGGTTAAGTTTGGTTAAATTAACCCCTGGATTTTGTTATAACTGGCATGACAAGTTGTCTAAACATTAGGGCCTCCGTTAACCGCCTCTCCTTTGGAAATGACGAAAAAGCAATACTGGCTCATGTGTGACTATTCCTATCCCTAGAATGGGTAGGCACGTTGTCACTTCGCCAGCAAACGGGAAAGCCTTGCTCCACATTCTGTTTGTGGGCATCTCCATTGTCATGCCCGGGTTTAAATCATGGGGCTTGAGAATAGGCATTGGTACCCATCCAGAACTTCACGTCCCCTAATCTAGAGGCACTATCTAATATCAACCTATTGTTGGAACTTCCAACCACAGTCATACCCATTCTAGGGATTGGTTATCCAAAAAAAAGGGAAAATTTTGTGAATTGGATTTGGATGCACTACCACTGCGTTATCATCATGATCTGCTGGTCCCTGATGACATGCAGGCCACCACCGTGAACATATAGTGTGCAATGCATACCCCCTCAGATGTGTTTTTCGAAATGCACACCCTCTCAGATGGAATTTTCCTTGACATCCTCTTGACACTTTTCAAAAATTATTTCCTTGCCGTCGTCTTCTTGATGCTCATATCTGTGTATGACATAATGATCACTAACAACCTTCGTTTACCCATCTTTTTTCAAATTTCTCGATATATGTGTGTCATACTTTTAACGGATGTCCCGAAGGACCTTTTTCAAATTTCAAAAGCCCCAGAGAGCATTAGCCAATGCTATATAGAGTGCATGCCTCACTCCACCGTCAAGAGTTCCCACCTCATATGCTTATCATGGCCGTGCCGGACCCGGAGAGCTCATGTCCAGGGACCGGACGCATGTCCCGTCCGGTCCAGAATTCCGGACTTCCGGACACGCATGGTTCCGGACAGTCTGGACCGGTAAGCAGGTCCGGAAATGTCCAAGCCATTAAAATAAATCTGAAAAAAAATAATGTTATGCGGAATAACAATGCAATCCAGCGGCCTGGCTCAATTGGTTAGGCACGCAAGTGGCATTCAGGAGGTCACGGGTTCAATCCCCATGGCTGCCTGTGGCACTCTTGGTGGCAACCAACTGAGATAGTTAACTGGATCCTCTGAGTCGGTATTCGTAAGGTCTTCAGCCAACATGGGTGTGAGTACGCGTGTGAGTGGGTTGCGCGTGGTGTGTGGGAGAGTGTTGGCTTTAGACACCTCTGTTACTCGATGGGGGTGGGGGACGCTGGACCCGGTTTCCAGCAGGTGCTGCTCCCCACCAATAGATGGAGCTTGTTTCATGTAAAAAAAAAAAAAGACAAAAAAAAAAGATGAAAAGGGAGGCACAGTTACTGGCAAATGCTCGGTCCTTGTGTTAGCCGGGTCCCCACCAGCGGCCCCAACCCTAAACGCTAGGGCAAAGGGGCAAACATGTCGTTACCTCTCTCCGGCAAAGGGGCAAACATGTCGTTACCTCTCTCCACGGAGAGAGGTAACCTCCCTTCATCGAAGAGAGGGAGAGAGCTATGCTTTCAGGGGTCCCCTGTATAGCCTTCGGAGCAGTGGTAGGTACTGAAAGAAAGATATGTGCCATGGCATGGCAGAACACCAGTTGAAGAGTATGTGAGGTGAGAGAAAAATATATGGCTGCCGTCTCCGCTCCGTACCTACTGGGGGGGGAGCTCCCCTAAGAAACGAGCCACACTCGAACATTGCCTGCTGGACTGCACCATGGTGGCTCAACTTTGGCAATGGTGGGACGCAGCATGGCATCATCTAACGGGCATCCACTTCCCATGGGACCTCAGGGTTATTCTTTTGGGGGATTCGCCCCCGCTCGCACTCAGGTGGACACCCGTCAGCCTCAACCTGCTGAAAGTAACACGGCTCCCACTGCTCATGGCTGCATGGCGAATGGGATGAGCTGTTGAGCACAGGCAGCACACATTTGGCTATATGGAGACTCGAGCCTCGATTCTAGAAACAATCACTACCAACACACATGCGGCATGGCAAGAGCTCAGGAATATGCTACTAAAGGAACCAGATACAATCAAACAGAATGAACTCTCCAGTAACTTCCGGCCAATCTGGGTGGATAGTGCACAGAGACTCTGCGAATTGGACCAACACAACCAACTGCGATGGAAGCAGTGGTTGTTGACAGAACCACAGTGGGAACATCTACCGAGAAGCCACTTCCAGTTCCCATTCCAACCGACCAACTTCATCCTAATCCCAGGATGACAAGGCACAACACACTCCCGGCTCCTGCTCCCCCTTCCCACACCTACCCTCCTCCTCCTGAACCCCCCAAAGCCCACCCCA